AGTGTGTATGTGGTATGTATAGTATACGTCTGTGTACTTGTGCACATCTGCATGAAGATACATTTGCACATGTGTGCACGTGAGTCTAGAGGCTTCCTCTGACCCTCCTCCCATTGTTTTTAGAGACAGGGTCTCTCATGGAATCCGAGATTACTGATTGATCAACAAGCTAGCCAGTACGTTCCAGTAATACTGTAGTGCAAAGGCCACTGCCTATCATCACCTCCGCTTTTATGTGGATCCAAACTCCAGCACTCAAGCTTGCAGCCGAGCCAGCTCCCCAGCCCCACCTCCCCTGCCTCTGTGACCCACTCAGGACCTTGTCTCCTGTCCCGGGTCCTCTGTTTATCAAGTAAATAAACTGAGAATGTGAATTTACCCCTCCCTACAAATAGGCTGGAAGTCACTCTTGTTTAATGCCTTGGTAAATTGGTAATGTGTCCTAAGGTCCTACTGGCCAGTCTTGATTTTAGTGTCTTTAATTATGCATGTGTGTCTGTGTGCTAGCCTGTGTGGGCATGTGCACATGAGTACATGCGCCCATAAAGGCCAGACAGTCACCCTGAACCGGGGATTACAGACAGTCGTGAGTCGCCGCTGCCCAGTGTGGGTACTGGGAACCTAACTTGGGTCCTCTGCAAGAGCAAAAGGAGCTCTTAACTACTGAGCAGCCAACTCCCCAGTCCCAAGCTCACCTCCACTCCCTGTTAGCTTGAAGCTAAGGTGTGTTTATAAAGGGAATTAAGGAAGAGAGGAAGCATTTCAAATAAATTTCCTGGTAACACAGCAGGAGGCAGAACCCAGCAGCCTTTCCCAGAGATTATAGGAGAAAGGCTCCAAGGTCAGGATGGCTCATTCGCAGGGTGATACCTCTCCTAGCCAGAGTTACCCAGATCTAATCTCAGGAGAGCACCATGAGGTCTCTCACGTAGTTTCTCATTCTTCCAAGAAGGGCAGAAATTGACTCTGGGAACAGAGTCCATTCCTCTGACTCACTTTCCCACATTGAACTGCAAACCCTTCCCATGAGCTCAGGAGAGTCAGGCTTGCTGATTCCTCTGAGGAATCGCGGCAGAAACTTCAGAGCATTTGATGGTCTCCTCGTCATTTGAAGGTCTTCGAGACTCTGACAGGCTGCTAGGTACCACGCCAAAATCAAGGTCCAGAGCCTGCAAGTTCTCAGGTCCAGCTCTAGACACCTTAAGGCAGAAATATGGGGGTGGGACCCAGAAAATCTATTATTTTGATAAAACACACAACATAAACATTACATAACACAAAGTTGGCTATGATGAATACTTTAAAGTGTAGGATTCTGCAGCATTCAGCTCTCGGCCTCCTTCGTTGAGATCACTCAATATCTCCAGTCCATTGTCTGAGAAAAATCTCATCACTTCAGAAGGAAAGGTTGCACCCATTAGACTGGCATTCCCCTGTTCTACTTCCTATCTCCACGGATCCCTTCCCCCCCCCCCCCCCCCCCCCCCCCCCACCCCCTGCAGACAGTTCACAAAAATAGAGTCATGTGCTGCTTGGCCTTCCGT